GGCCTTTCTGGCCGCTCAAAATCACCTTCAGGCCTCAAATTGTCATCATGTTTAATCGGCGTGCGTCTTTCACCTGGATGGACTTTGGTTGGAGTGGGACGTTCGAAATCACCTTCAGGGCGCAGGTTGTCTTCCGGTTTTTTGGCAGTGGGCCGTTCAGCTGGCCTAAATTTCGTTTTCTCCGGCCGCTCAAATTCGCCCTCTGGGCGTAAATTGTCTTCCGGGCGCTTCTGTGTCGGGCGCTCTGCTGGACGATAGCCGGGCTTTTCAGGGCGCTCAAAGTCGCCCTCGGGCCTCAGATTGTCATCGTGCTTAATCGGAGTGCGTCGCTCACCTGGATGGACCTTGGTTGGAGTGGGCCGCTCGAAGTCACCTTCAGGGCGCAGATTGTCTTCAGGGCGCTTTTGCTGGGGACGATCAGCTGGGCGATAGCCCGGTTTCTCCGGCCTTTCAAACTCGCCCTCAGGGCGCAAATTGTCCACTGGTTTCTTGGGAGTGGGCCGTTCGGTAAGTTTGGGCGTGTAGTCTTCCTTGGACTTAGGAGTGCCTTGGAAAGGGCCCTCTGGCCGGAGATTGTCGCGATGAATAACGACGGTTTGGCGCAAATCGGTGGTATCGAACGTCTTGTAGACGTCCTGACTGGTGGTGGTCACCTCGCTGCTGTCCGTCGAGTAGAACTTGTCCACGTCGTCTTTGGTCCATGTTCTTCTGCGCCGGTCCACCTGAGGCGTTTTCTCGGTGTACTCAACAGTTGAGGAGGTGTCGAACGTCATGTCGCCCTCAACAGTGAGGTTATCGTTTCGACGATGGATGCTGGTACGTTCGACTGTTGTACTGTAGTCGATAAACTCGGACTTATTGGTGGTGTCCGAAGTGAAGTCACCCTCTACTTTAGTGAAGGTGTTTCTGCGCACTGGACTTGTTCTTGGTCCTGATTCGCCCGTGAAGTCAACCTTTGAGGTAGTCACATCTAAAAACAGAAAAATTGCACTTCATTTGGTATACTAAGGGGCAGGCAACGGAAAGGGAAACCTACCGGTAAATTCACCCCCAACAGTAATGTTGTCTTCATGACGCACGATTTCAGCTCGATCGGCCCGAATCGCCCTGTACTCCTCAACAGTGCGCTTCGCAAAGTCGCCTTCCGGTTTGAGGTTGTCTTGAGGTTTCTTCGCCACTGGCCGTTCGCCCGGCTGGTAGTCGGGCTTGTGAGGCCGCTCAAACTCTCCCTCCGGCCTCAAGTTGTCTTCTGGACGCTTCTGTTTCGGTCTATCTGCCGGCACCTGAAAACATCAAAACTTTAACCAATTGCACATACAGGGTGCTACAGGGAAAAGTCTCTATTGGAAGTGGTAAATTGAGCTTTTCTGTTTGGTTCAAAAGTTATTTCTTCTCACCCATTTTTCCGGTTCGGGCAGCTCAAAGTCGCCTTCAGGTTTCAAATTATCCTCCGGTTTCTTCTGCTTCGGACGCTCGGACGGCACAAACTTTTGCGGGGTGCGTTTTTCAAAGTCGCCTTCCGGTCTGAGATTATCTTCCGGTTTCTTCTGCTGTGGCCTCTCGGCTGGTCGGAATCCGGGCTTTTCCGGTCGTTCGAATTCGCCTTCGGGTCGTAGATTGTCGTGGGGTTTTCGGACGGGGGCGCGGTCTCCGGGTCTCCACTCTTCCGCTTTGGGCCTTTGGGACAAAAAGTGACATTGTGCCCAAAGACTTTCAAATTGCTTAACTTGTGAAGGAATTTTACTGTTTAGTATACACGGTGATTTACTTCAACCGTGCGTTAGTAGTTTTCCAACTTGCAGTTGTTTTAAAGAGACGTGACGAAACCACGTAAAGTAAATTTAGCTCTCCAGCCATACAAGGTGTACGAAAACTACAAGCTAACTTTCTTATTCTGAATGCAACGCCTAATTTATTGAGCATGGTTGGATTGGCCTTCCAATCGCGAGTTTGAGCCACCCTATAGTTTTTGAGATACGTCAATTGTTAAAAAAATAAATGTCAAGACATGTTTACGGAGCAAGCTATATTTAAGGAACGGTTCTAAATTTAAAACCCAAATTTGGTATGTAGCTAGCTGAAAGCCCCAGGTACCTATTTTGTAACATCTGGGTGCATGCAGCCTACAAACATTGATATAAAAAGAGTCGAAAAATCCGGTTTTTTTTCAATGGCACCTACAAGATTTTTGGTCCTCAAACTCATAAGTTGACACGCGCTCCCTTTAAATCATTTATTTTAATAAACAAAAACAATTCCGTATGAAGCGAAATTAATTATTATGTGGCAATGAACGCAGTTTCGGTACCTTTCAAAGTCGCCTTCAGGCCTCAGGTTGTCCTGGGGTTTTTTAACAGGAGCTCGGTCGCCTGGTTTCCATTCATCCGGTCGGCGCTTTTCAAAATCACCTAAAAAGTTCGGTGAAAGCTTTTCCGTTTTTTTCTCTTCGGAGCATATCAATTAGTGCCTACCTTCCGGTCGCAGATTATCCTGAGGTTTCTTGATCGGAGCTCGCTCTCCAGGCTGCCAGGCTTGCGGTTCACGCTTGACGAAGTCACCTGAAGCCGAATATTGCCTTAGATAATACCGTTTCCATATGCATAGGCCGCAAATGAATAAAAAAGTGAACACTACCGTGAAAATCATCATGGCAATTTCAACGAATTGCTGTTGTCACTGTACCATAAAAGAAATTATGCTTTGGCTGGGAAATATTTTGGTTGACATTGTGATGCTTTTTTGGTTTGGGTAAAATATGCCCGATTGGTATTCGTTATCGGAGACAGCAAGAATCCAAATGAATTTGGCCAATTTTTATGCTTTTCTGGCTCCCCAACACCTACCTTCTGGACGAAGATGGTCTTCGGGTTTCTTAATGGGGAATCGCTCCCCTTTGGTTGCATTATACTCGTCTTTCGGCTGAGCGTAGATGGGCCCTTGAGGGTGGAGATGGTCGTTATAGTCGTCGGGATTGTGAGGGCAGCTGTGTCGTCTGAAGCAGACAAATCGCACATTAATTTCAATCAAATATTACAACCCTTAGACTTGAGACAAATTGCATTATTACTGGCGCTGATTGTCCATTATTATCAGCCGAATTAGGATGCTATAACGATTGTTCGAGTGAGGTTGTACATTATCTAAACTATACCGATCAGTTGTATTGCGAATAGATTAGGTTCATCAATCATTTAATTGACTTAATTGGTGTTCTGGAGCAATAGTGAGGTGGATGGCGAAAATTGAGCTAAAAGTCGGGAAACTGTTTTGCTTATGGTAGTGATGATATCACTGACATAAAATTTCGCAGCGTTTCAATGCAATCCGTGAGCAGTGTAGTTGGAAACGTGCTTATTAAGACGCACGCGATGGTGACTAACCGACTCCGAGCCGTGCGTGCGACAGCGACAGAGGTAATCGAGCATGTTCGATGCAGGTTCGCTTTCCGGTTTACACTGCCGTCTGGTTGAATTGCTGATCAAATTGTCGGCTCGCATTCTTCAAACTCAGTGAAATTTGATTAAAGCTTGCTTTTCGGGAATGCCTCAATTATAAAACCGATGTTAACTCTTTTATCTCTTAACTTATTGGTTAATAGGTGCATTTTTACTGATTTCCATTCGCCTTGGATACTGAAGGACTTTCGAGGCTTCACTGTTTTACGATTGAAATCGGTTACCTTTTCTTTTTCCTTCGGCGCTTAAACTGGTGCAAAGCCGCTTTGGAGAACCAATTCATACACCCAATTCAGCCAGTATGAGTGATAATAAGTCAAAGAACTGGCTGGCACAATGCCCTATTATACGTGAGTCTAGTGGAATTTCACGCGAAATTAACCGGATTTCCAGAGAAAGGGAATTCAGTAACCGGCACGATGTGTCGCGACGCCGACAATAACCGGCCGACTAGACGCCGAGCTTTCGAAAGTCGACTACCCCAATGGCACGCTGCCCTAGAAAGATTGTCTGGGGAGATTCTCATGGAAATTTGCAGATAAATCAATAGATTTGCCTGAAACTTTCGCAGGGAACCTCTCAGGTTCGATTGCCGTAGCCTAGTTTACAGGCGATCGTTACTAAGTACTTGATCCGATTTGCTCCTATTTTGGGGTTTTCTATTAAGCAAAGCTGATGGTTATCGTTTCCGATTAGCTAGATTGATGTACTGATTGGGGATGACTAAATTTAGGCCAGCAGTGCTCGATGGTTGTAAGTGGCGAAGAAAAACCACTTTATGCTGGGTTTAAAAAAGTAAAGTGTTCTGTTTTTTGAGCGTAATACGCTATTTCTCCTCGAAGCGCACTTTTGAACTTATCTGTCTAGCCCGTAATAAAAGCTCGCTTTATACAATCAAAACAAGTCGGTTTCCACTAGATTCATTGATTATTTGTAATTACACCATCGTAGGCGCGTTATAAAAAACATCAAGCTACCAAGCTATAATTTTTCCATCAACTGTGCCATTAAGAATGCATTAAAACAATTGAATAAATACTCTTTGTTATTGCTCAATAGTTTAACTGAAAAGGCCACCTTGAAACCAAATAACTACAGAGATAACTTGGCCAACCACACGGTAATGATGATGGAATTGGCTTGTTTTAGTTCGAAAATTGCAATTCCCGGCTGGTTACAGTTGCGATCACGAAAAACGTGTAGTTTCATTTTTTTTCTCTGCAACAACTGCTAATGGAGTATTTAGGTGAAAAATACAGTGAATCGATGCAATTGTCTGATAAATAACCTAAATCCCACGCGTTTAATTTATTTATGACGGCCTTCTGTGTTCGCCCTCCTTCTAACCCACGGTACCACCAACGATCCGAATACATTCGGTGACTCACGCTGTGAGAATAAAAGCTGGTTTTTTATAGTGCAGAAGGCTGCTTTTTTGCTTGTTTTCTTCTGAAAGGCTCACCTTGTTTCTCACTTTGACTTGTTCAGCTTGGAGCTTTAATTTCAACACCCTTTAATGAGGATGGTTTCAATATTGTGTGTAATTCGAGTTAATTGTACATACTTTCCTGACTGTGTTTCAATTCCATATATTTCATGGGAAATATATGCCAATGCTTAAAGTAGCAAC